CAGTCTACCTTACGAGGAAGGATTACATGAGAGTCAAATTCCTATTAAGGTCAGACTTGTACAAATGAATAAAGAAACTCTCGAATATTATAAAAAAGAAATTAAAGAATTTTTAGATAAAAAAATTAATACGGCCTAACAAGTCCACTTGGAGTTGTGCAACCTTTTATGTTCGAAATGCTTCTAAAATAGAATGAGGTGAACCTCATATGGTTATTAATTACAAATCATTAAATAATGTTTTAAAATAAATTAGATATCCTCTTTCAAATAAACAATTAAGATTTGATTAACCGACTCTATCAAAAAATCATTTTTTCCAAGTTTAACATGAAGTTAGGATGCTTTCAAATCAAAGTTAAGGAAGAAGATAAATATAAAATAGATTTTACTATTCCTTTTGGACATTAAGATTGGAATGTAATGTCAATGAAATTGAAAAATGTTTCATCATAATTTCAAAATATTATGAATAACGTTTTAATTATTATTCAAAATTTTCTATATATAATTTATTTAGATGATGTTTTAATCTTTTCAACATTAGTTGATAAACACGTAAAACACTTAAATACCTTTAAAAACCTTATTAAACAAAATAGAATTGTCATTTCTACTAAGAAAATGAAATTTGCCTGGACAAAAGTACAATTTTTGGGACACGAAATATTTCAAGGAAAAATTGCACCAATAAAAAGAAGTATAAAATTGTCTATTAAATTTCTTGATGAAATTATAGATAAAAATCAATTATAAAGACTTTTAAGAGCTCTAAATTATGTAGCAAATTTCATTCTTAGAATTTGAATTGTTTGTAAACTCTTGTTCAATAAGCTTAGGAAGAACCATAAACCTTAGATTTATGAATTATCCAACATACTTAAAGAAGTTAAACTCTTAGTCAAGTCATTACCTTGCTTGGGAATAACCTATTAAGACACCTCTATGATTGTAGAGCTGATATTTCAAAATTTGGTTTTGGTGGTATTCTAAAACAAAAATTAAGAAATAATCTTAAACAAATAGTAAAATTTCATTCTGGAGTGTGGAATGGAAGCCAACTCAAATATAATATTATTAAGAAAGAAATTTTATCTATTGTTTTATGCATTACCAAATTTCAAAATGATTTGATAAATAAAAAGTTTTACTTCGCATTGATTGCAAGTCAGCTAAAAAAGTTTTAGAAAAAGATGTTATAAATATTGTATTAAAACAGATTTTTGCTAAATAACAAAGTTTGTTATCTTGTTTTGATTTTGAAATAGAATTCATTAAGAAAAAAACAATTTTATTCCAAAAATTTTTACAAGAGAATTCTTACGGGGAAATGAGACTATCAACATCTTCATTGTCTAAGGGATTGTCTTTGGACGACTTTGCCCCTTCATTCTCAAAATTTACATGAAATACCTCAAAAACCATCTCCTCAAATACCAAAAAAAATCCAAAATACCTTAATTATCCTTGGCTCCATTATAGGAAGATCTAATAAATTATCCCTATGAGATAATCCTCGATTACCCACACAACACAACCCCAGACGAGTCTCCTTTAAAATACATTATCAAACCAGAGAATTATATGTTTGGAAAATGAATTTAAGGGTTTTGACCCTCATCAAATTATATCCAAATTGTCTCCAAAAGAATGAAAATGGCTTTCTAAGGATCAATCCTAAAAGAAAAAATAAAAAATTATCAATTTGTTCTGATTGATACCCAATCTACAAAAATTATCTCAAAATTTGATCACAAAGATCTTACTAAAGTTTGTTATTCCAAATTATAAATCTCAAAGATTCTAACCTGAACAGATTGAAGTCAAAATCTACTCGTTGAAAATAAATTTTCTCGTCCATTTTATTCCCCTAGTTTTAATTACTTTGGCTACAAGGAAGCTTGATTCAAAATTCTTTTTGAATCAAATCCTTACCATTCTTGGTATGTAAGCTTTATAGTTTCAAGATTAGTTCCATTTTTTTGACCAGCTAAGGCCATATTACCCCAAAAGTTGTATGAATTATTCAAAGATAGTACTCCCAATCTTGAATTCCATTTGAAATTAATTACTTTTTGTTTAAAAATGACTATTAGTTGGTTATTCCAACAAGTTTATGAATTCCATCAACATTTATCAGCCATTTATCCTATAAGGTCTTTTTTCTTAAGATTAGAGTTTATTGGTGGAAGAAATTTCAAATAAAATATCTTGAAGAGAAATTAAAAAATGTAAAGACAAAATTTTCAAAGGGCATACAACTTTCGTTAAGAGTCTCTTGCTCACTATGTATCCCAAGAAATAAATTTAGAAAGAAAATCCAAAGAGGAGATAAAAGCTCAACTATTAACAATTTTATCATCTTTGGACTCTGATGAAGAAATGGAAGAACTAGAAGACAATAACTCTACTAGCACTAATCCTTATGTGTAGAATGGAGACAATTATTATGGCATTTAGTCAATTCCAGATTTAAAAGATCGATGGTAGTATTCAATAAATATCCAAGTAATTCAAGAACAATCAATAGTTAATATCGACTTCAAAATAAATGCAATTTTGGAAAAAGTGAACGAAAAAACAACAAAAGTAAGAAAAAGAAAAAGTAAAAGTAAAAGAAGAAAAATAAAATAAATTAAAAGAAAAAATAAAAAGAAACAAAGAAGAAAAGAAAATAAATTGAAAGAAAAAGAGTCAAAAGTCAATTAGAAGTTGAATATTGTTTGTAAGCCAATTAAAATTGTCGACACAAATGACAAATGACTTATTGAAGCTCTACTTTTAAGAAAAAAATCTTATGAAGAATTGTTGGCCAACCACATCTAACAACAAAAACTTATTTTCAAAAGAAATATTATTTCTTAAAAGTGCATTTCTGTTTATGAATTAGTTTAAATTTTGCGACAGAAATTCACAACCCTTGTATTTATAAATAACCACCTCTTATAAGGAAGATGCATCTATCAGCTTATCCTTGATCGAAGCTTTTCTTTATCCCTTCTTCCAAAATATCCCAAAATTTTTCTTTGGAATTCTCTTCTTGTATTCTGGAAATATCTTGCAAATAAGTAAAACTTCTTTTCAATTACATTAACTCTTTTTAATTTTGTTATCCTAATTTATCACTTCAATATACATACTTTGAGCTAGAAATGACATCAAAACCAAAAGATTTAAATTTTTCTAATACATGTTGATATTATATATATACATGTGTGTTTAAAGAAAAAAAAAATAAGTGACGTGCTCCATAATTTGTACACCTTATAAACTTCTATCTTGGATTTCTTTGTCTTTAAACTTGAAAGAACCATTAGGTTACCTTATAAAATATAATTTGTACACCTTATAAATTTCACACACACATGTATCAAATTATAAATAAAAAATTAACTAACATATATATATATATATATATATATATATATCTATATATATTAATAGTATAGATTACCAAGGAAAGAAACACACTTCTTACTTGTAAATAATTATTAGAAATTTTTAGTTTTAACTTTCTTTTTTCTTAATAATTGAGAAATATAATGATCAAATAAATGTGGAGGAAAAAAAAGCAGTTACCGAGCAAAACATCTTTTATATATTAGTATAAATAGTGTAGATTAGAAAGAAAAAAAAAGGTGCACAGATGATTCTCTCATTTTCTAAAACATAAAATAAAAAAAAATAAATATTAGTTGGTTAATTAATATTGTAAATAATTTTTAGTGTAATTTTTTTAAAAAATAAAATACAATAATTTACAAATGAGTCATTATAAGATAAAGAAAAATATAAAATGTGTAAAAAAATCTTATTACCTTGATTATGAATAACTATATTTACAAGTGAGAAATATTTTTTCTGGCGGCATCCTCTTATCAGAGTAATATCTGTTATTTTTTAAAGGGTGTGTTACTACATAAAATTTTTAATTTTCCATTTATACTCTCTTATACCCGACAAGTTCACACTCGTCCCATTTTAAGAAAAACAAGCCTCAAAATTGGGTAAACCAAAACCCCCGTAAATTCAAATTGATCCATCGCCATACGTTTTGAATTGTTGGGATTGTTTTCAACTACTTTATTGTCCATTCATGTCCAGTGAAAAGATTTACAATAATAGATACTTTTTCGGTCCAGCCACCATAAAATTGTGACCTGAAATTTGATTACCCCTCCCCTCATAAAAAATAAAATAAAATTAAAAACCCCCATGAATTTTGTAAATACATCTTTGCCGAAGTTTATAAATTTAATTTTATATTTTTTTTATAATTTTAATGAATCTCAAAATTATCTTTGATCCAAATTAAAAATAAATTAATTATTCTTAATATTTACTTAAAGTTTATCTTTATACCAAAATAAAAATTAACTGTAATAAATTATAAGACTAGCTTAGATCCAACACTTAATTGATAAGAATTTTGAGACGACTATATCACAGAAGTTTCGAGTCAATTGCCTTGTATACCTCACTAAAACCTCCTACTTTCAGTGTAAAACTCAAGTTGCATCCATTCTAATTACATATGCTGGCCTAATCAATCGTTTACACAGCCAGACATTAGAAAATTCTGAAGAACTGATAAGAATTTTAAGAAACTAACACTACAAAATCTCAACGACATCCTATATTTCCACGGTAGAATCCAAGTCCCGTGCTTTGCAATATTAGTTACATATTAAGCCTGATATATTTTTATTTTCCTAATACTATTATACAAATTATTCGAATTTTAAGAATGAATCCAATTCTATTTTGTTGCAACACTTATTGACACATCAAACAGAAGCGCTCTAATGAACTGCACCGCTATAATAAGCGAGTTCAGAACTGAACCAATTTTAAATCGAATTCAATTTAAATCAATTTATTGACTTGTAAAACCAGTCCTGAAGCGCACACACGAGTGAAAAACATGCGATATAAAATACTTCAAAATTGGATTGCGACTCAAGCAAGAATATATCATAAGGCAGTTCAAATTTGGATCCAGTCAAACACGAATGTATCATATCTAGCCTTGTGCAAGATTGAACAAAATCACCCACATATGAAACAGATGCCTCATTGTTTTAAAGTACGTAAAATACATATGAAACAACACTCAATGTTGCGACTCAAAATTCCAAAAGAAGTTTCTTCAATCATAGTTTCATACACGATCTAAAGAATTTAACTAAATAAATAAAGACCAAAAGCGCAAGGTTTAAAATTGCAAAATACAGAATGACAGGTTTAATAAAATGAGGCAGAGGTGTATAAGTAAACTATGTTGCTATCACTCCCCTTAAACTCCGACAGAACAAAACTACTAGTATGAAATAACCATAAACTCCGACAGAACAAAACTACTAGTATGAAATAACCAAAAATTCCGGCAGCCGCGAAAAATGCCAATAAATGTCTCTAATAAACATAAAACAGCATCCCCTGCAGAAATTTTTTTTTCCAGACACCAGTTAGTTGTGAATAATGAAAACTGTCTTCTACTAATCAATAAAGCTGAGTAGTCATCAGAGACAAAATCAGTATTCAACAGCATGCTACATGAGCAAGTAATCAAATTTTTGGCGAGCTGACTTGCTACATGATTAATAACGCAAGAAGCCCATACGAAGTACATACCTGTTCTAGCGTCTATCAGTTTTTCCAGAGGAGCGCTTCCCAGAAAACAAGTGCTTGGGCTTCAGGTTAGGTATAACTCTATCAGATTCTCCACGACGGGCATCCTTGTTTCTCTTCTTGACAGATTTCTTTGCAAGTTTAATTGCCTTGATCTTTTGAGCAGAATCCTTGAAGCCCTCTCCAGGCACAACTTCATGTGGTGGGCGTGACACCGACCTGGACCTTGAGAGTGATCTGCTCAACCGCTGCTTTTTGCTAGGTGTGTCACCATCAATATCCATTCCATCTCTGCCATCAGCACTTCTCCTTTCAGGTGATCTTTCTCTTTTCCGGCCTCTTGTAGAGGCAGATCTGCTGCGCATTCTCTTAATTGCCAAAGTAGGATCAAGGCCCAAAGATGACAGTTGCCTTCCCATTCTTTCTGATGTGTATTGCTTGTCCTTGTCAAACTTCCTTGGAACAGTTGGTCGATTCTCAGCATTGCTCTTTTTAATCCTATGCTGCTGGATGAGCAAGCTTTTCTTCTTCCTAATCTCAGCTAAAGCTTCTTGCTGTTCAGGCGTCAATTCAGTTCCATCAATCTCAAAATCATCATCCTCAGCTTCTGCCTGTCTTAACCCTTCTTCTCTTTCCAACTCTTCAACCCTATGCAGAATATCAGGATCAATGAAGTCATACACATTGTGCCCATCTAAAATTTCTGGCAATATATCTTCTTTCCATTCATCACTGGCTAAAATGTAATTCTTTCTCAAGTTCATTGAATATACACCTGCCCCACCATTCTCATTCTCCAGATCCTTTTCAGTTTTTCTCTTTTCCTTCTCAGCCGCTTCCTTAGCTTTAGCTTCTAAAACTGCTTGAGGAATGCAAGCTGGTCTTTCCTTCTGGTCACGAGGCTTTGGAACAGCAACATGAAACCTATTCAAGCAATCATTAATTTTCTTTGACTTCATCTTTATCTCCACCCTCTGATTCAATAACCTTTCACATGCTGCATTTTTTACTGCAATTACCCCTTCTTCTGTCAAAGTGCTCATGGTCAACAATACACTGTCATCATCAGTAGGCTCACCCCCTTGACCAACTAGAGTCTTCAAGGCTTCAGCTTGCATCTCCTTGACCAACTTCTTGTCTTCCTCAGATATCCCCTCCAATGGTTGCAAGTCAGTCTTGTTGCAGACTATAATCAGTGGCTTGTTCAGAAACAAAGACTTAATGCTGTGAAATAGAGCTGCCTGCTGAGCAATAGTGTAACCACAAGACCCAGAGATGTCCAAGAAAAACAATATTGCAGCTCTCAGATGTGCTAGAGCAGTGATACTGCACATCTCAATAATATTGCGGTCTTCAAATGGCCTGTCCAAAATCCCCGGAGTATCAATTACTTGGTACCTTAGATACTTATAATCTGTATGACCCACAAAGAGAGATTTTGTAGTGAAAGCATAGGGCTGCACATCAACATCAGCTCTTGTAATTTTGTTAATGAACGAGCTCTTGCCAACATTAGGATATCCACAGATCAAGACAGTCCTTGTATTTGGATCAATCGATGGAAGCCTAGCCATGTGCTGTCTAACTTGTTCAAGATACGCTAAACTTGGGCCAATCCTCTTGATCACAGTGCACATGCGGCCAAGAGCGGCCACCTTCAGACACTTGCATCGGTACAGTGAGTCACCATACTTCAGCAATTTCACATAGTCTTTTGCAATCTTTCCAATAAGATTCCTGGCAGTGTTGATTTGCCCAAGGGCAAGCTTGTAATGGTCTTTGTTGTAGAGCACATGGAGGAGATCGCCATAGAAAGGATGAATATCGTCAAGCCGAGGGAAATCATCAATTATGGTGGAGAGCTTATCATAAAAATTTTGCTGTGTATACTTCACTTTGCGCATGTAGAACTGGCGCAGCCGTGAAATTGCATATCCTTTATGCACAACTGTTGGGGTCTGACGCTGAGTGCGAGAGAGGATGATATCAACGAAATCCTTCCCATTAGGCACCACAGTAATCTTCTTAAAGTTATATTGCACCATCTCGCTGTATCAGCCTACCTACCACATATAAACCAAATCTGAAAATTAAAAAAAAAAACATAAAAAAACACCGAACCAAGGAGGCTAAACAAAACAGATACAGGTATTGCAAACAACAAGGTAACACTCCATTTAAATAGATGCTTAACATAACGTTGTTCGTCAATCAGATACTCTTATATAAATGTAACCATACAGGCTAAAAGTAAGCGCGTTTAATAGCAGCGATGTAAGTGAAGGAAATCGAGAGATAATTACACATGTCGCAAATTGCAGCGGTATCATCGGAATGATTACGATACTAGAAATTCAGTTGATCACCGCAAAACTTATAACAACATAGAATAATAGCCATAGAATGAATCTAGAATACAAACCAACAATAATACAATAAAATAAGTCGTGAATTAAATTCATCGAGCCACATAAACTTGAGATCCCATGCTCATATCTGAGAAACTAAGCAAGCAATTACATGTATGAAGGAAAAACTAAAACGAAAGAGAGACTCACCCCAAAAAAATCGTTCACTCTGAGAGTCTGTGATGTGTGAGCGTTTTGCCGTTACAGGCGGTGTGCGCTAAACAAGGGTATAGAACAAGGGTTTTAGCATTTTATACCGGAGGAGGCTGGGTTACAATTGATAAGCAGCCCAACCCGGCCCAGTTAAACTGTTTACGTTACTACGGCCCAACCTGGCCCATTTAATCAATTTAATTAATTTAAAAATGTTTGTTTTTCTTTTCTATTGATTAAAAAATAAAAATAAAATAGCGATAATTTAATTTCTGGTACCTGACCGTAAACCGATGAGAAGTGGAGGTTGGAAGTGATGTTGAGGGTGGCGGTGCGATGGAATTGGAGGCCAATGGCTTCTCTGCCTCAAACTCCCTACACGTGCCAACTCTTTCACACGCTTAACCCTAGGCCTCGATTCTGCACCTTCAAGCTTTTTCCTCGACCTTATTCTTCTGTTGTTGCGCATGCCTCGCATCCTCTCTCCGGCGACGTGGACCGCCACCTTCGCTGCTCCATGCCGCATAACTCGCCGCTCCGTGTCGCGGTTCTCGTTAGCGGAGGCGTCGACAGTAGCGTCGCTCTCCGGCTGCTCCACGCCGCCGGTCATTCCTGCACCGCTTTCTACCTCAAGATATGGTTCCAAGTACGCCTTCCTTCTTCGCTTCTGAAATTAGGTCGTTCTTGTTGTGGCTCTTGCTTGCTTGCTTTCTCATGTGTGGTTTTGTGTAGGAAGATTTCGAGAACTTTTGGTCTGAGTGCCCCTGGGAAGAGGATTTGAAGTATGCCAAAGCTGTTTGTAATCAGGTCGCTTTGTTATCAGCGTCTTTGTTGTACATTATGCTGATCGAGACGTTACTGATGGAAATGCATATGGTTTTTTGTATTTGCAGATTCATGTACCGTTGGAAGTTGTTCACTTAACTGATGAATACTGGAATAGTGTGGTGTGTGAGACCGACTTGACTACTTTTGTCCTATTTTTATTCACTTAGATAACAAGAATTTTAAGCTAATTGTTTGGATAAACTTGTGAATAATTACTTATAGGAAAATAAAATGAATTAAGTTTATGTGGTAAGTTAAAATTAGTTTATGCCTAAGTTAAAATGAATTTTTGGAGAAGCTAAATGTGAGAGTTTTTATAAATTAACTTCTGTATTCACTAATTTTAACTAATAAGAGAAGCTTAATTTATTTTACTTTCTTAATTTCTTCAATTGTAAGTGCTGACCGAGAAGGTTATCAAAACAGGACTAAAATATATTTAATTGCAATAGTGTAGGTCTGGGCTACCTCTTATTTGACTTATTTCTCACCTGCATATCAGGTTTCTTATCTTATTGAAGAGTATAGTAGTGGTCGAACTCCTAACCCTGATGTTCTTTGCAATACAAGAATAAAGTTTGGTATGCGTCTAGTCACAATGTCACGTACATTGAATCCAGTCTTACCTCTTTGTAGTTTGTTTCGTTTTCTTTCTTTCTGTCATTAATCAAATGTCTTTTGTTAGGTGCATTCTTGGATGCGATCGGTGGTATGGGTTTTGACTATGTTGCCTCTGGGCATTATGCAAATGTTGTCCATCCATGTGCTGATCAGATGAATGAGCCTTCTGTTCTGGAACTATCACAAGACATGGTGTGATATGAGATATATATTTAGAGTTATAAAATCTTGTTTGTGTTTGTGGTTTGTATATAAGTGATATTTCTGCACTTTCAGCACTGTCTGAAGAATCTTCGCTGATTAACTGACATAAATTGTTTGTTAGTCTTAAGTTTTTCGTATTTCTTTGCTTGCCTGTTTATTGCCCTGGAAAATATTTTTGCATGCTGATAGATCCTAATGTGATTTTTGAAATTTTAGGTAAAGGATCAAACTTACTTCCTTTCACACCTCTCACAATCCCAGCTGAAGCGACTTCTTTTTCCACTTGGTTGCATTCCCAAGGTTTGTTGTGACTTTGTTGCATTTTCAATGCTTAAATTGCATTTAAATTTGTCTGTGATTCAAGCCACTTTATGATGTCTAACATGAGAATTCAGGATTTGTTATATATTTGTTAATTTTTTTGTGCCTTCAAATTCAATTGTTGTTTGCACTTTAAAACACCGCTTGCTATCTCTTTTTATACGGGAAACAATATGAGAAATCAGGTGGTATGTTTTCTGAATATATTTATTAAATAGTTCTGTTCGTGCCCTTAATTTTGGATAGTAAACTATTCATAAAGGCCAACATGTTATCTTTTTCTGTATGAAGAACTTTTTTTGTAATACCACATGTTGTTTTGAAGAATTTTTAATCTAATTTTTATCTCCTGCCACATCATCTGCAGGATGAAGTGCGCAGGCTTGCCACACAATTTGATCTACCAAATAAGGATAGAAAGGATTCCCAAGGAATATGCTTTTTGGGCAAGGTATGTGGTGTGAACGGCTTCTTTACATATCTATTTCATGGTGACAAGTATATGGACCAAAAAGAAAAAGTGATGAGAAGTAGGTCATTGCAAATCATTTTTGAGCTTTCCGGTAGTTCTAAAAGTGGAAGATTAAATTAAAAATCTCACTTATAACTATGTCCATATGAATTGTTGTACCCATTTATTTACTATTTTAAACATTAACAATGTCATATTATTGTTTAGAAGCAAGTCTTGATAGATTTCTTTCATGTTTTTTTGTTCTCTTTTTTGAGTTATAGATAAGATTCAGTGAATTTGTTGCAAGACATATTGGGGAGAGAGAAGGTATCATACTGGAAGCTGAGACAGGAGATTTCCTTGGCAAACATCGAGGGTTCTGGTTTTATACTATTGGTCAGCGCCAGGGTTTACGGCTTCCTGGAGGTCCATGGTCTGTTCCCTCTCTATTTCTTTCTGACATTGTTAGCATTTATCTGATAAGTTTCCAATAATGTAATCACACACTCCATTTTGTATTGAAGATTGATCCCCATTGTAGGTGCAGAACAATGAAAGTATAAATATGATCTGCATTGTACACACATTTTGATCATTCACTTGGAAGGGAGCATTTTTTTCCCTTAATTATTTTCTCCGCCTTGAGTCATTTGAAAATTTTCTTTCAATGCATTTGCATCCAGACGTCATGTTTGAGCTTGTATTAAAACAGAAAAAGAAATTCATCCCATTTGTTATTTATGCAGGTATGTTGTCGAGAAGGATGTTAAAAACAATGTAGTTTTTGTGTCAAGAAATTACTTTTCCTTTGACAAAAGAAGGCGTGTATTTCGAGTTGGCTCTTTTAAATGGCTTAGTGGGTTGCCCCCAGGCCAGACAAGTCAGCTCCAATGCAAGGTGGGTTCCTTGAATATCAATTTCTCTTTCCTGCTATTAAAAACGTTTTCCATTTTTGTAGTACTTAGACTTCTGGTATTTTAACCTTTTCAGGTGAGACATGGTCCTGGATTCTATGATTGTAGCTTACAAATGGAAGTGGAAGGAGATGGGCAATATCACTCTGCTGTTGTCCACATATCTGAAGATGATCAAGGCCTAGCAGCTGGGCAGTTTGCGGCCTTCTATGAGGGAAGAACATGCATAGGTTCTGGTGTGATTTTGGAGTTCTGGGATGATCAGAGTTTTCCAGTATGTACGAAAGCTTTAGAAATTGCTAGAATGGAAGATAAATCAAAGATTGGGAATCCAGTAAAAATAAAAGTTAAACCCGATAACCCACAAGAAGTGAGTGATTCTGCAGTGTTAGCAAGTAAAAAATCATAAGGGGATAAGAAATTCTAGAGTTACTAACACTGAACAAAACAGGCAGACATGTCAGAGCAGCTTCCGTATTCCCTTTCAATTGGCTACAAAAAGTCACTGGCAAACGTGGATCTTCTGATCCGCAGAAACATTTTTTTTGTAGGGACTAGAAGGATGGCTATTTATGTTGTAATACAAAGTTAAGGCAGGCGAGAAATTAGTAGCTTCCATTATTTGGTGTTTTGAATTAAATATGCCTTCTCATGGTTTCTTCGGTACTTTATTGACATTGTACCATATGATGAATGTCTTAGTTTATAATTTATCAATGAAAAACAAATATTATGGCATGGAACCATGGACAAAGCGAACAGAAAAATATAATGCACAATCACAATCAATTAACTGTATACACTATCTACAATTAATTAAATGTATATCCATTCAAGAGACAAAATTAAGTATATGAAAATGATACATGCATACATAATTGAATTAAAATGAAATCACAATTAAAAATATAATTGAATTAGTCTTTGATTTTTAAACATTGTGTGAGCGTGTCTAATTGTGACAAAAAAATATCAATTAACACTAAATGCAAACTAATTAAACTAAATCATAATGGATTGATTTCGACAATCAACATTTAATTGGTTAAAAGGGCGTAATAATTAACTCAACTGAATCTAAAATATTAAGAGGAAGTTATAATCAATTAAAATGAATCTATAACTAATTAAAAGGATGTTTTAATCAAGTAAAACAAACATATAACCGATTAGATTAACACAACTGATTAAAGTTAATTTGATAAGAGGAAACATTAGAATCAACAAATAATCGATTATGTCCCGTATAGAGTTTAGGGTGCTAAATCATGTATAGTGCATAATCGGTATCTCCAGTGCGAATATAGAATAAAAAAAGTTTATAATTGATTATGAAAATTTCCCTCACACTCTAAAATGTATATGATTGATTATTAAAAGTTTTAATTGACTAAACATTGTCTAAAATCGATTCATATTTAACACATATTAGTGAAAAATCAAGCTTATATATAAATAGGTAGATATTTTAAAAGCCTGGCTCCAATTATTCACGAGCAACACAATTTCGTTGCACTTTCGACGTCCTTCAGCGACGAAAATAAAACACACGAGGTTCACTCTAATTTCTCTACTTTCCTGTGTCTCTCTCACAGACCAACCATAACAATTTTTTATTTCAGCTTTCCTTATCTGCTCTCTCTTCAATTTTTGCTCTATCTCTACTTTACCAAGCACAGATAAAGAAAAAAATATTATACGTATTAGCTGCAAATTGCAATGCAGTGATGCCTCTTGCACAAAAATTACGAAGATGAAAAGGACAAGACTTCGTTGAAGTGATGCCTGTCAATGTTTATTTATTTTTACACCAATACCCCAGTCAATGTTATAAACTAATTTTATTACGTAAATTATCTATATTATTAATAAAGGAGACATGTGTTTTACTCTTTTATTTTCAAATTTCCTCTCTTCCATACAATTTTTTTAAAAGCATGCTAAAAGCTCCCATAATATCACACATAAATTTTGTTAAAAACTTAAAAATGATGACCTAAATTTTGTCTGAAAAGAAGGTAAGCTGAAGAAGATTTTTGTGAGTGAGAATAAGATATTTGTTAACGTAACGAATAAAATAGGGCGAGGAAAAAGGCGATAGGATATAGTTAGTTAGCAATGGCACACACTCTAACACTAAGCCCCATCTCTTACACTCTCGCTAAAACCCTAAACCCCATTTCTCCATTCCACAACACTCTTCCCTTCTCCTCTTCATTCCTTTCTCGCCCCAACCTCACTCGCCGGACCCTATCCCGCTCCGTCCTGCGCTCCGCCGCTGCCCAATTCTCAGCCACCGTTGACGACGACGACGACGACAACTTGGACGAGCTCGATCTCATCGCCCTCGAGCAAGAAGCCAAGGACGCTGCCGAAGCGTATTCAACCTCTCTCTCTCAAACTTTGACCATCGGTGAATCGTCTTTCTTTATTCCTTTTTTTTTTTTTTTTTTTTTTTTTTTTTTTTTTTTTTTTGTCTTCCATTCACTCTTCAATGACTATCTTTCTTTGTTCGGCTATTTCAGAAGACGAGGAGAAAAATGATGGCAAGGAAACAGCTCAATCCCGCAGGAAGAGTGCACGTACAACAAAATTTGTTAGTATAACATTCAGTTTTCTTAAATAATATATAGTATATTGCACTCATACCCCTCAAGTTTCGTGAAGTTGCACATAGCACTCTTGCTTTTTTAATGTTTACAAGGCAATGTGTCTTTTCAGTTATATTATATGATTCCCAAAATGGAGATTTAGTTTGTCACCGAAACTTTAATTTATTACTTTCTCAAGCTCATTTGTGAAACTCGAGCATGGAACACTTAGTTTTTAAACGGATACTTTTTCTTTATTGTTTGTAACTAGTTAGAAGGAGTTGGATTATTTCTTTTGAAGATATTGAAGTAAACAGGGTCGCTTGCTGAAACTTGTTTAATTTGAATGGCAGATCCCTGACAATCTTCTCCCAAGGGTTGCAATTGTTGGAAGGCCAAATGTTGGCAAATCAGCATTATTTAATCGACTTGTTGGGGTATTCGATATTTCTTCTAGTTTAATTTTTCTCATTATATGTTCTCGTGTTCTTGGGAAATAACATTGGAAATTTCAACGTCTCTGAAATCTGAAATTTTAAATTGATTCATTATGATGTTAAATTGTAGGGAAACAGGGCTATCGTGGTGGATGAACCTGGGGTTACCAGGGATCGTTTATATGGTCGATCATATTGGGGAGAGCATGAATTCATGGTTGTGGACACCGGTGGGGTTCTCACTGTTTCAAAATCACAAGCTACTGTTATGGAAGAGCTGGCTATTACTACTACCATTGGTATGGATGGCATTCCACTTGCTGTTAGAGAGGCAGCTGTTGCCAGGATGCCCTCAATGATAGAGAGACAAGCAACTGCAGCTGTGGAAGAATCACCTGTTATTATTTTCCTGGTTGATGGTCAGGTATTTTGCATGCTCACATACAATATATTATAATTTCCCTTAGTGCTTCACTAAGGCTGTATCATTTTTCCTCCTCAAATATTTATTCTTTTTGTAATATAATAATTTTAAAAAGGATAACAAATTTTTTAAAGGATAATATTTACTTGTATTGAGTATTGGCTGGGCAATCCATTCCTCCGAGGCCACCGACATTTAACATGATTAGACATTTTCTTGTTAATTCTGGAATCTGGCTGAATCTTGGAAGCTTTTAGCTGTATTTTACTGCATTGAGTTTTAAGTGGTACCATCTAGCCAAAGTGGACAACATGACATAGTTATACACCAACAAAATGGGACATCAAGTTTTGTTTTTATACTTATTTATAAAGCATGATATGATCAACTGTTCCATAAAGCTGCTAAAAATCATCACCCAAAGACAGTAATGACAATTATGTTGAACAGGCTGGTCTAACAGCAGCTGATGAGGAGATTTCTGATTGGCTACGTAAAAACTACTCAGACAAATGTGTTATTCTTGCAGTTAACAAGTGTGAATCTCCACGCAAAAGAATTATGCAGGCGTCTGAATTTTGGTCCCTTGGGTAAGCTATTTCTGCAAGGATGCACTCCCAAGTGGGTGGGTAGGTTACGTACCTAGATTGTGGCCAAACACAGTGGAAAATGGTCTTGACACTTGACTATTTTAATATATAATGTTTATAGTCTGATATTTTCACGGCATGAATATCTAGGACAAGAACTTGATATATGGTTTTGATTATGAATGTGCCTCAACAAGCATTAGTTGTTATGGATTTTGAATGCAATTGAGGTCAGAGGTGTCATTGATACTTTGTGTTTGCCAACATTTAAACTTAATTGACCATTAAGGGGAATCAATTAATTACTCATATTAGTGGTTAACTTCAATAAATAGTTAGTTCAGGTGGTAAGCAGTTTTTAATTATGATGCAATGAAATGTTGTGTTAAGCTAAGTTTGGTTAGTTCAACTTAAATGGGTACTTGTAAGTTGTAACCCCAATTATGTTACAGAATTACCGTTGTTTCAATTTACCTTTTTTTTTTTTACCATGTGCAACTTCATGTTTCCTCTTATTAGTTCATAGAGTAATTAACGAAGGAAGGTCAGACATAAGATATATATCATTATGCAGTTTTATATATTCATGTTATTAATTAAGATATTACAACAATTACACATTAATAAAAATAATTCATTTCTCTTGATGACTTGGACCTTTTAGAAGTCATAAAACTATTCAGTATTAACATCATGATACATCTTGAATATATTAAAATTAAAAGTATAGGAGATTGAAGGACTGTCTTTGACAACTAAAATTCTAAATCAACACTACCTCTCAAACCAGGAAATAGGAATTTTTTAGTGTCTAAGCATGCAGCATGGAATTCTTGCATAGTTGCATCATATTGTTTATTGATGTTTCCTAAGTGTCATGTTGTAATCAACAAATTGTTATTGTGGTTACTATATCAGATTTGAACCACTACCAATATCAGCTATCTCAGGGACTGGAACTGGAGAGCTTCTTGACCTTGTTTGTTCTGGGCTACAGAAAATTGAGGTTTGTTTTCTATAAAGGTTGCATTGCATTGTCTTTTGTATATACATTGACAGTGGGTAAATGTAGATGCTATTTTCTACTTTTATGTCGCAAGCAAGTTTATTTGACTATACTTTGCATTCGCCAACTGATAATAAGTCATTAGATTCAGTTGGAATTGTTTTTGATCACTATACAATTTTGGATCTAGCTAGAAAGCACCAACACACCTTGCAACAGAGGTGTCCTGGTGTCCGACACTCCAACACCAACACGCTATGGACACATGTTAGACACATTTTTGCTGTGTCTTTTGTGTTTTTTTTTTCCAACTTCGACACAGCTAGGACACACCTTAAATGGTTGACATGGTTATAGGCAAAATTACCTTTTTTTTTACCAATCTTTTTAAAATTAAAAATAGAATGTAATAAATAAATTTACTAGTTTCCTTTTATAAGTTTTTTTTGGGACTCTTTGTTATAGATCTTAGCAAGTTGTTAGTTAATTTTTTTATGTAAAACGACAAAGATCTAGTGTTGTAAAATTTTCTTTTCAATGATAATGATGTCTCTTAATTACCATATTTTGATCAAATTAGTAACTTTTTATGATACATACATACATACATGCATACATACACACACACACACACACACACACACATATATATATATATATAATTATATATATGACATGTCCCTGTGTCCTATATTTTAGACTTTAGTTGTGTCAAAGTATGGGTGTCATGTCCAGTGTTAGAGTCAATGCTTCATAGTTTGGGATCAAGTTGTTTTATTTTATTCTTATTTTGATACCCTTGATTTTCCAATTTATAATTTACTTTCTGCTAAACAATAGGAATCAAATAATCTTGTTGTAAAAGAAGATTATGTTCCAGCAATTTCAATTGTTGGAAGACCAAATGTTGGCAAAAGTAGCATTTTGAATGCACTGGTTGGTGAGGACAGAACAATAGTCAGCCCCATCAGTGGCACTACCCGTGATGCTATTGATACTGAATTTACTGGACCGGATGGACAGGTTCGATACTTTTGGTGATTATCTAGTAACCACTTGGCTTGTAACAACACTAAAAAGAAAGTCTTTATTCAAATGTTTTATTGGGCTGTTTGTTTAAACTTTTTTTTTAAGAAAGTGCATTTTCTTAATTAAATAAGTAGTTTTTTTGTCTTTTTTTGTTTTACTTTTTTGATATGTTTGTCTAAACTGTTAATTTTTCTTTAAAAAAAAACCGTTATGTTTTATTTTAGAAACAACTCCTATCTGCTTTTTAAAAATTACTTTTTTAAAAAGCACTTTTTTTTTTATAATTTTAAACAAAGTGGCCCATTATGTGCTGTGAGAATGAAAATTTGAAAAGGATTAGTTGGTTATAAGGTTTTCCCTACCTCAACTTTGTTCAAGGCTGTATATTTTTTGGACGATATCAGTTTGTCTTAGTGATTTGGTGATCCTTTAGTATTTTGAGTCAGTACGTTAATTATTCTTATTTTCTTTCTCTAGAAATTCAAGCTTATTGATACTGCTGGAATCAGAAAAAGAACAGCCATAGCTTCAGCTGGAAGTACAACAGAGGCTTTATCAGTGAATCGAGCATTTCGTGCTATTCGTCGTTCTGATGTTGTTGCTCTTGTCATCGAGGCCATGGCTTGTATCACAGAACAGGTTTCTGATTAATGCTTTTATTTGTTACATCAAAATCAGATTGGTTTCCTTCTTGTTAGAATAAGGTATTACTACAGGCCTAGGAGGCTAGGATGCACATGTGATATCATATCAGATTTTTAGTATATACTTCCTCCCTCCTTAAACTATTTCAAATGTCTGTTGAAGGACTACAAGATAGCTGAAAGGATAGAAAAAGAAGGGAAAGGTTGTGTGATAGTTGTAAACAAGTGGGATACAATACCAAACAAAAACCAGCAGACTGCAGCATACTATGAGCAAGATGTCAGGGAGAAGCTTCGCTCACTTGACTGGGCTCCAATTGTTTATTCTACTGCTGTAGCTGGTCATAGTGTTGACAAGTATGTTTTGTCTGGAAAATAATTAATACATTAATGCTAATAATTTTCATGCTTTGAATTCCTCTAACTTTTCCCTTTGAAAAAAGTTCCCCATTCATAGTATTCATATTTCTAAAAAAAAAAAAAATCAATTTGAATCTCACATGGTGAATGCAGATAAGCTTTATATATTTTGTTGAAAGTACCAGTTGCAAACTTGCAATGGTTTGGTCATGGTAGACTTCAAGCATTGCCTCTGCACAATTTTGTATATACTCGTATTTCTTGATGTTGGGTAAAAAAAAAAATCCATGGTCATTTCTGGAGCTCGAGTGATGCATGTAGAGATGGACTTGAGAACTTGGTTCTTTTCAAAATTTGGATGTAACCTCACTTAGTTTTTCTGGATGTAGCACATGATTAGTGTTGCACATAAATTTTAGTGGTAAATAAGTTTTTTTGGATGTAGACATTAACATGGTATCATAATTGTTGATAAATTTATGACATTCAGGTTTTATATTTTTCATTGGACTTGGTCTCCTAAATCTAAGTGGATAGCTGATTGCTTATTTTGTTGTTTTTACAACTAGGATTATAGTTGCTGCTAGTGAAGTTGTAAAGGAGAGATCAAGAAGACTAGGCACTTCTATCTTGAATCAAGTAGTTCAGGAAGCAGTAGCTTTTAAGCCTCCTCCCAGGACACGGGGTGGAAAAAGAGGGCGTGTTTACTACTGCACTCAGGTATTTGTATCATGTAAATGATGGTAGTTAATAGTTGTTATTGTATGTCTTTTAGCTTATTGCGAGTGTGAATGTTTGGATACATTTCTTCTTGTGCCATTTTTATTACGTCCCCCATGCATTTATTAGGATATTGTATGGAATAATATATGCTAGACAAAAAATTGTCTACTAGAAGAATGAACAAAATCATTAGTGCTGCAGGCTTACTTATGGGCTCCTTCTGGTATACTTTATGTACTCATAAATTAAAATATATTTAATTGCTTTATATTCTAACTGGATCTCCTCTTGCAGGCTGCTATAAGGCCACCTACATTTGTGTTTTTCGTCAATGATGCAAAACTTTTTCCTGAGACTTACCGGCGCTATATGGAGAAGCAACTGCGCACAGATGCAGGTTTTCCTGGTACACCCATTCGACTTCTGTGGCGCAGCAGAAGGAAAATAGGAAAAGATGAAGGTCAGTATATGTTTGAGGTGTTCGTAGTATCAATATTTATATCGCACACATTTTGCTTTCGTTATTCTTGTTTTGTTGCTACTACCCTTAAAAATGGTAAATGATGCGATAGACTTGTATATATGATTTTCTCACAGGCAAAGCTGTAACAAAAACCCAAGAGAATCTTAAATCAAATGATCGAAAATTGGTATCAACTACACCATAGCATCAGACATTTTATCATGGAAGAACTGGCTGTTATTCTGTTCGTGTTGGAAAATGAAATGGCTTTATCTGGGACGGGGATTACTTATTTACTTAAATGCTTGTGCTTCCTGAAATCGATCAAGGTTAGGAAAAGCTCCACAAGGACAGGATGGGTTCCTGAAGTTTGGATGAGCATCTGTCCTATTTATAGTAATCGTCATCCTGTAATTCTTCAGTAAGAACTATGTATTTATCGGATCGTAACTTGTTCCCTGTCAACAGCTGCATTGTACATTTATCTATAGAAGTAGTTGTTGAATCAAATGTAAGTTCTTGGATTTCTAATTGTGACTCTTTATTCAAATATTTAAGCTGGTATCTGGAATGGTGCTTTTGTTTTTGCTAAGCAATTGTAAGTAATTTTTCAAGTTATTAGATGTTTATAGCTTGGTAGTTAGCTGCAGTTAGCTAATTAGCTTTCTCTTTTGTTTCAAACTGGTTAGTTGCTGTTACAGTCACATAAAGCTAAACTACTAACAACAACCCACATTTCCTGTTAAACTTATTCACATTTTCTGGCTACATCTAACTCGCGTAAACAATACTATTTGATGCAATTATTTTTAACTAAAGTGTTGAAGGTTTTATTTATTTATTTATTTTTATTATTCATTTATTTATTTTTTTATGGCTAATAAGGAGAAAGATGCATATATGAGTAGAGAAATAAATTGGTTTTACTAATAATTTGTTGTTCCACGAACAATTGATTTGTTATTACCCGGTTCACCAACATGGAGCATTTAATTTGATAATCGTTTTTGTCATCCTTTGCGACAAGCTGAAAGCATATACTACATGTCTGTAACTCATCTCTATCTTACCTTCTGCATCTCTCATTCTCATTTATTTTTTTAAAATTTAATTATTGTGTGAACACCACAGTCCACAGGCATTCCCATATATGCTTCTTTACATTAGTGGCCTCACGGGTTCGTGCGTAGCTGATAATTTTACATATATGACTACGCAAGATTTGTGTATTTAAGTTTATTTTCCCTACTTGAACCTAACCTCTTTATTTCACACCTCCACAACTATGATTATGGTTAAAGCTTTGAAGGCACTGTATGTTGAGTCTTTTCGTGGCAATTCAGCTTGAAGAGTGAGGGTAATAGCCAAGTTATCAAATTCAAGTCTGCAACTCGGTTACTGAATGAAGTATTAGTTAAACCAGTGAATTATATGATGAATTACATGAACCGACATATTAAATTTATAAATTTTACGCTATATATATAATTATTATAAAGAAGATATATTTTGATAATTACTCTTTTATTCTTTTAATCTCTACTTTTTAGTAAATTATTATATCTCTTAGATATAAATTTTTTTTTAATATATTTTTGATTTATATCTAACTATTAGAGATATAAAGTGCCTTGACCTCTCAAGTATATAATAATATACATATATTATTAAAAATATTTTATCTTAATAACATTTTCTTTTACAAAACCTTAGATTTGGGTCAAGTCTTGGAGTCAACACTTTGCAGCTTTGGATTGTACGGCAATGGACTTGAACCTAGAATCCAAGACTTGAGGAAATATCTCTGGGATGAAACACTTTTGTAATATATACGAATTAATATATTATATTATCATCAGAATGTATTTACAGTCTACTATATATGACATATTTTGTTGATTTTTATAATTATTTTAATAATCCTACATAAGATGATTTCATATGACGGTGTAATATTTACATTAGTAATATAAGTTGGTGGCTTGTACCAACTTATCCCCTCCCGGCTTCCCCCAAATTTTTATCTATTAAACTCCTGTATGTTTTGTTTTTATTTTGCAGTATTATTTTAATACTTATACAAGGAAAGTCCAACCTCAACACCTCATTGGAAAAATTATTGTATATGTTCTGATACTAACTGATATTCAAATAATATGTTATTAACCTTTTTTTGTTTTTAATAAATTGTCTGTCACTGCTTTTAATTATAGAACAGCAGAAGAAAAGATATTACTTATATTAAAGGTTCTATTATATATGGAGAGACTTCATTGTAGGATGGGGATGTAATATTAATGGATGTTCTCTCTTTGGAAACACTTTATGCAGCATGGTGAAGTTGCTGCTCAGTAGGTGTGTGTAGAAGGTAATGCCAGCTTCATTATATTTAAATCTTAAAGCTCTTGAAAGTTGAAAGCATGATCCTCCCATGCTATCTTGCAAAGCCGGTAGCAGAGGTTTTATGCAAAGCAAATAATATAGTTAGTTCAGTTGCACACGCATCAGCTAGAGTGAGAAAGGACTACGATATAGAATATGAGGGCTGTTTGAATAAATATTTAAAGTGTTTCTAAGAGTTTTTCCTTTAAAAATAAAGAGTATTTTTATAAAAAAAGTTATCAAAAGTACTTCTAATTTATATCCTATCACATTCGGTATTACATAGCTACTTTGCTGGCTTGATTCCCATAGTCTTTTATTGCTGACATTCAATTCTTGGCTTAATTACCCTCCATGTTTCAGTTGCTACATATAGAATCCATCTAAGACCTGTTAAAAAGGCAACCAATAAATATATACACGAAATATGGTTGTAAGAACATTTATGTCCAACAAACCAAATTAATATTCCTAATCCCACCAAATCTCCCGAGTAAAATAATATAATAGCTAGCCAAATCACTTAATAGTCAAGTGCATATCGAGTATGGTCCTATGGAGTATGAAATTGGTCCACCTAGGTCGTCAGGGTAGGCCAAAAATGGAGTCTCTTACATGCCGAGTAGCTGGTATATAAGGGTCCACAAAATAAACAACCCTAAATCCTAAAATATTAATAAGCTCAGTTAATCGAAGAAAAAGTGTAAATTATATAAACTAGAAATTGACTGGCAGCACAAGTAAATAAGTAATTATTTAATTTTTACATACACCAACACATATAATTAGTGTGTTACAATGTTATGGACGCGTATGATTTAATTCCTTGATAGTGTCAAGGCAGTGTTTTAAAAATCAGATCGTACTGGTTGGTCAGACCGGTTGAATCGGTGATCTAGTCGGTCTGAATCTTAAGTTGAATCGGTTATGCATTCGAGCTATTTAAAATCAGAGTGAATCGGTCAGTTTTTTGATTCAACCAGTGAACTAGTGGGTTGAACTAGTGGATTAAACCGGTTCAACCAAAAAAAAGTTAAATATTTTTTTGAGTTAATCACCTATATACTACCGGTATAAAGTTTTTTATACTGACAACCAATCATATCTTTTAATAGTGTCATGTCATTTGCTTATTTAATGAACTAAAAATAAAATAAAATAATTTAAAAGATATGATTGGTTGCCAGTGTAAAGCTTACACTGGCAGTGTATGAATGATTAACTCTATATTTTTTTTATGTATTTCTTTATAATAAATAAAATTAAAGATAATTTTAAATAAGATAAAAATTAAAATTTAAGATAGGATAAGAATTTATCAAAATTTATAAGTATAAAATATATTTAACATGAATATTTAAAAATAATAATAAAAATTGGGTCATGTGATTCAATTAGTGACTCATCAGTTCAACCTTTAACTCACTGACTCAATACCTTAATTGGTTTGATAACCAATTCCATTTTTAAAACTATGCTCAAAGGTGTCGAGTCAAATGTGCATTTTTTTTCTTCGAGCACTTTCTCCATTTACACATTTAGAAAGTACAACATTAAATTTAGTGTTCCAAATAATTTGTGTTTCAAAAAGTATTTTTCAAAATTGTTTTTAACATACTTTTGGAAAATATTTTTTGAACAACTAAATTTATTATTTTGGAAAGAATTTCCCAAGACTGTGTAAAAAAAAAACTTTTGAAAAAAGTAATTTTTAGAACATTAATTTTACTATTTCAGAAAGTAATTTTCAAAATACTAATGTTAGTATTTAAAAAATACTTTTTGAACACTAATTTTACTATTCTAGAAAGTACTTTTCAAAATATTGAAATTAATGTTTTAAAAAGTATTTTCTAGAACACTAAATTTAATATTAGTGTTTCTCAAAGTATGATAGGGGAGGAAGTAGTGTTCGAAGAAAAAACATGTATTTGACTTAACACCTTCGAAATTATCAAGGAAGTCGTACATCCCTACAACGTTATCGCACATCAATTGTACTATTTGAATGCATGTAAAAACTAAAAGAAAGAAGGAAGAAGAAAGTAATATGAAAACCAAACAAATCAAAACTACCTACTAAAATAGGTAGAGAGTGAAAGAAAGACTTAAAGGTGTATGTGAAAATCAAACGGAGGAGAGAAACATATAAAAAAGAAGAAAAAAACTACTAATTTGAAAGTTAAAAGTGTAAAATAAAAAATTAAAAAAAATTAAAAAAAATTAAAAAAAATTAAAAAATTTTAAAAAATAAATAAAAGAAGTATACTTATATATATATATATAATGTATATATCATAAACCAAAAAAATACTATTTAAAATAATAATATTTATGAAAATCTCTCATAACGAATCATATTTAATTAGCCCCATCTATTTAAGGGTTAGCCTCAAAGTAAAATTAGTAAAGTTCAAGTTTTAATTCCATCAATTAAAAATTATTTTCTATTAGAGTTTGTAAAATAAAAAAAAAAGGCATAATATATTAGTAAAAGAAAACTCAACATATAACTTTTATTTTAAGTACAAAATTTCTTTTAAATTTTGTTTTAAACTTTCCTCATTGTTAGACGTGATCAGCTCCAACTACATCTCTTCCATCAAAATATGGAACATCAACAACCAGAATCTTTAAACTGCTCAAGATCTCGGCTCTCGAAATTAGTTGTTATAAGTAATAATATATATAAAAAAATATGCGTTGATAATTATAAATCGTGAATTTATAGCGGCAGGAGGTAGGTCCAATTAATTTTGATCAAATCATGGATTTTGAGCTGCTCCATCAATTAATGTGATATGGTTTTCCTTCATTATATTGTTGTCATTGTCAAATACCATACGCTAATTAATGGCCACTGATGTGGGTAAATGTGACTCGTCTGCATCACCAAGTTTTCTGCAAATTAAATATTTCCTCCATTTTCTTTATAGCCGTTTAAAATTTTACACGAAACTTAAGAAAATTATTGATATTTTAATTTTTAAAAATATTTATTACTTATTTTCCTATTTTATCCTTTTTTTTTTATTTTTGAGATTGATTACACGTGAACTGTAACCTACTGTATTTAATTATACTTGTCCATGAATTAATGGTTATAGTTAAAGAGTCTTGTAAATAGTTATCCTTTTTTTGTTTTTTTATAATATTTTGTTAAGAATATATTGCTCTTATAAATGCACATTAACTTTATATGGGTAGTTAGAGAAAAAATAGGTAGATATTAAAAATAAATACACACATTATTTAGTGAACATGTATTAATTATCAATGGTAAAAATGAAGAAAAAAATTAATAAGTCATTGATTTTAGTAAAATGACAATAAAAAAAAAACAACAAATTTTGACAAAATAACTATAAAAAAAAAAAGAAACGGAGGGAGTAATTACTAAAGATGAATTAAAAGCAAGAAAAAGTATTATTTTCAAAAGCAATGTATATTAATAGTCTTAGTATACATTTAAACAAAAATGTTAAAGTAAAGAAAAGTATTGTACATACACCCTTAATTTAAAATAAATTGAATTTACGAATTAAAAGAAAGTACACTTTTATAATATTTATATTTTACTTAAATTCACTTTTAATCTTTATAATTTCATAAATGAGTAATTTTAGTCTTTTAACTCTTTTTTTATTATTATTACAAACATGGTCTTCTAATTTTTTAAATTAAGCAATATTTGTGCACAATCAATATATCACTCAAAATTAAATAAAAAATGATGATGAGTGTCTATAAATGATAATATTCACAGTTAATTAACCACATAAAAGAATAACAGTATTAAAAATTAAATAAATTATTTTAATATAAATAACAAATTTTAATTGAAATAAAATAGAAACATAATCTGTTTGTAATAAAAGTCGTGTTGTTTCTTACATAAAAGTCATCATGATTAAATAATTATGAAATAATATCATTTATAGACATGTCAATATTTTTTTTTATATAATTTTAAATAATGTATTAATGGTGAATTAATTTAATATAAAAAATTATAAGATTAAATTTATAATAAAAAAATTTTGAGACTAAAACTATACATGCACAAAACTATATGAAGCAAAATAAATTTAAACCTTTATTTATTTATTTTTAATTAACTCCACATTTATCGTAATAAAGTTCATATATGTATTTTTCAATGTACATAACGATATATCAAATAATTCAATCGTTACAGAGAGATTATAAATATAACCTATCCCCAACTTTTTAAAAGAATGTCAATCACCTTTCTAACATTTTTATTATTAAACTTATGTCTTACTTTTAAATCATAAGATACTGGTTAAATGGAGCATGCCATCCATCAAAATTTGTTAATTTTAATAAATTTTAGTTAATAATAGTAATAATAATAATAAATTATACAGATGTTCAAAATAATTGTTTATGAATTTAGTTAAGGATCTTACCTGTTAGCCAAGTTAAGAACAAAAGTTCATTTATTCCCGTACATACTTGTGGATATAGTGACGGGCCAAAACCCTATTTAAGCTACACACATGCACACATGACACATGATGAGAATGATAAGGAGAACCCTGCAACTGCAACTGCACCTGCAACTGCACCATGTGCAATCTATCAAGTCCTAACATTTATTATCGGTTAATATAAAGTACTAACTACACTATCATTGCATCTCCGTACACCCCACCCCCCTCTCTTTTTCAAATGTACAATACAACATCTTAATTCCACACAAACACGTGTCGCACACTCATTTCACTTTATATTTATGTACTCATAGAAGATACTAGATCACTAATAATATACAACTTACATTCATTAGTGACGAAAAAATTGAATTTTTGAGCTTAAGTGGACCTTAACTCATTATGTTATATGAAGAAAATGCCTCAGTTTTATCAAAATTTTCCATGCTGAAACAGTGAAACAAATCTAATGTTGCGGGGAGGAAGAGAAGTTATATTATTAGATAGATCAAACAATCACGTATCTATAATAAATAATGTTTTTTAATTTTTCAATTATAAGGTAAATTTATTTTTTTAAAAGTTAAAATTGATTTGCAGGACATATAATTTTAAAAAAATCTTAATTTAATCATTATACTCCGATGTTAATAGTAAATATATTAAATATTAGTGTATAAAATTCATTTAATAATATTATTATTAGTAAAATTATTATATTAAATTTAATTAATATTTTATAACTGTCATAATCTACTACCGTCAATTATACTAATAATAATGTATTGAAATAATTTTTCTAAAGTACAAAAATTTAAAAAAAATTATTTTAAATTTGAGAGAAAAATAATTTATTTTAAATTATAAAGACTAAAAATATATTTAAGTCATAAATAATTTATATTTTTTTGTCATTTAAATGTTGTTTTTTTTAAATAAAAAATTCAATATATTTTTATGTAATTTATTTCTTATATAAAGGGAGGGACTAAGTACAGGAAGAATGCAAAAAATATTAAATGTATGATAATTATAATGAGCTTACCATATAAGTCTAGGTCCAATAAAATTATTATAAATAATAACTTGTAGAAAAAAAATACTTATATTTATTACAATATTAATCACATTATCTTATCTAAATCCAATAATTGACTTAACGTTAAAATGTTTTTTACTTATTTTCTTTTCCTTCTCCATCAAGAATGATCGAAGGTTAGAAAAATGTTAAATACAGAAATTATAAGGATGATGACTTATTTGACAAGGATCGAGATGACAAAATTGCTCGTGACCTTGTATAGATATATTTCCAATAATACTTTTATATATAATGGAGTAATTAAAATTCATTTAAGTGAAATATTATTGTTACTTTTAGTAGAAAAGTAATATAAACGAGAATAATTTAGTTTATAAATATATATATATATATATATATATATATATATATATATAAATTAAATATTT